TTAGCCAATGCTAACCTATTGGCAAATCAGATTTCCTACCCACATTCTACCTGCCTTGAATTGTAGCAACACATCCCCATCTTATATTGTGAGATGTGTGGTTGGAGTGTACTATGGGTTAAGTGCAGGTAGAGAAAGTGAGTAGAAAATGTAGATTGATTTGTTGGGGCATGTAAGAATTGACAAACTTTGTTGATTGAAAAAGGTATTTCTAGTTGTGCAAGAGTGAGATATTGGAGTGCTCCTAACACTTCTATACTTAACTAGGTTAGTAAGTTGGAACAGGAGAGCAATTTGGCATGTAACATGCATGTTGGCTCATTTCAACAAGTTAATTAATAGTGTACATGTGTTGGCCAAGTATGGGACTTAAAGAATTTTTAGTGTGCTCAATACCAAGAAGTGCACATGACCGTATTGAGGACAAACACAGACCATCCTAATGTAGGCTTATATCTGACACATCATCTAATCAGATTCAAAGAGTCCAGATAAGATAGAGCTCAACTCTCATAAGAAGTCCAATCTGTTGTAACAATAAGATAATGTGATAAGTCATACTTATACTCAAACTTCTGACATACACTATACATACTTAGTTTACACAACTCACCATGCGTGGGGTTTTCTGCATATTACTTTTCCTTTCATGGTATCAAAGCCTTTTAGGCTAACGTCAATCACTCTCATGGCTTCTGCTCACTCAACTACCATTCCCTCACATCAGTCAAGTGCTGCAACTCCAAGCCCGACTTCATTGATCCAGAGATTCAAGGAATCACTAGTTTGATCTTTGTCAAATTAACAAAGGATAATTACATCTTGTGGAGCATTCTAGTTGATCCTACTCTACGTGGACTACACATACTCGGGTATGTGGATGGCTCATTTCCCTGTCCGTCTCAGTATGATGAGACTTCTACATCATTCACTCAAGGTACCCATACTCCTAACCCTGCATATACCACATGGATTGAACAAGATCAATTGATCTTGAATTTTTTACTATCAACTCTTAATGAATTAGTTCTTGCAAGTGTTGTGGTTGTTCCATTTCTAAGGAATTGTGGACTGATCTAAACTGGTTGTTCTCTTCATCCAACCGTTTTTGTATCAATGATTTAGAATTGGAGTTAGTGCATGTTCAAAAGGGAAATTTGTCTTTGAACACTATATCCAAAAGATAAAAGGTTCATTGGCTGTAGCTAGTTACGTTGCACTTGAGATTGAATTTATTCATCATTTACTTCGGGGCTTAGCCTATATTATGATGCTTTTGTTGTCTCTGTAACAACAAGACTTAATGATCTTAGTTCTGCTGATATTCAAATTAAAGTCTCTTATTGTCTTATGAAAAGCAGCTTTTTAGGGGGTGTTTAAGTCAAATGACATATAAGCCCTAGAAATAACCAAAACATCCCTCCCAATAGCCATAAAAATCTAGTTTTAGAGGGTATTTTGGTTAATCCCTTTAATTCCTATAAATACTCCCACCCTCCTTCATTCTCACCACAAGTCTCATAGTCACTTACATACTCTCATTCTCTATTACTCTCTACAATCTACATACTCTCGTATTCTCTTCATTTTCTCAATTTTATTCTTTTATTCCAATTTCCAAATTTCAAGAAGGAGGAGCTTGTTTCAAGTGTCTTAAGTCTGCAAACCAAATAATGCAATCTAGGATGCTTAGAAAGCTTCATCGGTTGAAATCAAGGATACTAGCAGTTGGACCGAATTGGTAGTAGATTAAATTTATTCTTTTTCTCTAAATTTTAGTTCTCATTACAATGGTTGGTTCTTCCCAAACTCCTTTTTCCTTTTGTTGATGAAGCCTAATCTTAGTATGATAATTTTGAAAATATTGATACCGAGAAAGGGAAGAAGAGATGTTTACAAAAAATGCAAACATGATTTTAACTACCACAATAGTGGTGGCACTGACCATTTTGTCTAGACACAAGGCATCTCACTTAAGATAGAGAGATAATTCAAACGGAATATAGATTTCTTGTGGGGTATTTGATAATTTTCATTATTTCCAAGAGAAAATGAAGTAAGAATTGGCTAAATATATTGTACATGTTGAGCAACCCTTTATTTTTTTGGAGACTCTAAGTAAGAAAATTTTTTGTGCACACATTCTATTAATCCTCAATTTAGGAAAGTTTCTAGGAATACAACTAGAAATGATGCTTTACTTTTTTTTTAGATATATAGACAAGATTTAAATTCAATTCTTTCTAATTTAAATTCTAAAGTTTCTCTTACGTTTGGTATATGGATAGTTATATTTGTGTCACTACACACATTTTATTGATCAAGAATGAAATTTGCACAAAAAAAAAAAAAGAAAAGAGAGAATTTTAAGTTCTACAAAACTAAATGGCTACATACTGGCAATGCAATTTTTGAAATTATTTTAAATACTTTATATGAATATAAAATTGAAAATGAATTTTTTTCTATTACTTTTGATAATGCTAGTAATAATGATTTTGCAATAAATATGTTAAAAAATTAATTAAAATATTTTTCATGGAAAACTATTTCATATTAAGTGTGAATATCACATATTAAATTTATGTGTACAAGATGAATTAGAATTTATTTCACCCCATATTAATAAAGTTTGACATTGTATTATGCATGTTAGAACTACAAGGGTTTGAAAACAAGAATTTAGAAGTTTATGTCACAAATATGGAAAAAAATATAAAAGATTTGTATTAGATGTACAACATAAGTTGAATTTAACATATTCAATGTTAGAAAATTGTTTATCATATAAAGGTGCTCTAACAAGTTTTATAATAAAAAACTGTCAAATGGTTACATAATTGATGAAGATTGGGAAGTTGTAATTTGTATAAAAGATTGTTTACAAACTTTTTATGATGTAACTAATTTATTTTTGTATGAGTTTATCATCCTATTTCATGTGTATTAGTTAATCAATTTTTATAATTAGTGATATTTTTTTTAAATATAGAGATACTCCACAATTTCAAAAGATTGTTAAAATTCTGAAAACAAAATTTAAAAAATATTAGGAAAATATTTCTCCTTTATATTGTTTAGCTGCAGTTTTTGACCCTAGAGTTAAAAAAATCAGGTTTAGATGTTTTACTTGATCTTTATCATATAAATATGATAATACAAAATGAAACAAAAAAAAAAATATTATTTCAAGTGTATGAAATGTATGAATCTCAAAGTTAAGTTCAACAATCATGTACACTACGTGAAAGTGGTAGTGGGAATAAAATTTGGTCAATAATAACTAGAGGAAGGCAGCAATCAACTGCCACCTCTTCATAAAGTTCATCATTCAGTGAACTTCAATTTTATTTGCAACAATCAAATATGTTTGACTGCCTTAGCTCAGAGGAAATAGACAAAGTTGATATTTTAACATGGTGGAGAGAAAATGGAAAAAAATATCCAATTCTTTTTGCCATGGTATGTTATATTAACCCCTCCAGTGTTAACAACTGCATCGGAGTCTTGTTTTTTTGTAGGTAATAAATTGGATTCTAGGCGAGGAGAAGAACTACTTCAATAGTTAACCTTGGAGATGTGTATTTACTTGAAGGATTGGCTAGATGTAAAGTACATGCTACAAGAAAAATGAGGACATGACACCTCAACTGATAGTTCACCAAATGAAGATGATAGAGGTCGAATTTGAAAAAACGTTGAATCCAATATTTTTTGTATTGTTGTAATTTTTGATCAAATGAGACTGATTTCCATTTTTGGCAGAGTGGCAATTCAAGCCCCCTCCCCCTGGAAATGAGATTCCCATTCAGAGTTTCTCGAAAAAGTAAAGAACTAATGACAAAAAACCCTACAAACCCTAATACACCTAACACTAATATTAATAAAATATTATTAAAATAATAATAAGATAATAAGAATTATTTAATGAAACAACAAAAATGACAACAACAACAACAATAATAACAAACAAAATACAAAATTGAAAAATTTTGACTGATTCTGATTATTCCAGCTTCTAGATGAATAAACAGTAGTTTCCGATTTCAATATATATATATAGAGAGAGAGAGATAAACATAATGACATTATGAAAGAAGCAGTTCATAACTAAATATAACATGTACCCAATTGATAAAAATGGTATTTGAATTATTGTAGGAATTAAACCTGGCAAAAACTTGAAATCCACCAAAAAACAGTGGGTTAGGGTTTCCTATATATAAATACCCTGAGCTCAAAGATAGTTTGTCGCAACCCAAAACGAAGCCGAACGGAGTCGCATGCCACCTATTTTCAAATTGGTATTGATTCAATGATTCATAACTAGATATAACATGTATCCAGTTGATAAAAATGGTAAAATCTTATATATATTTTAATTATTGTAGGAATTAAACATGGCAAAAACATGACCCAACCCGCGAATCCGACCAAACCCAAAAAGGTGGGTTAGGGTGAGTTTCCTATTTTTAGTGACCTGAACTCAAAGATAATCTGTCCCAACCAGCTGACCCAAAACGAAGCCGGGTTGGGTCACAGATATTGGCATTGATCAGACAATGAACCATTCAAACCATTTGAACCAGATGGTTAAACCTATACTTTTGATAAAATCATTGATTGAGAGAGATATTGCATGTGGATTGTGGAACATGAATAGACGCGGGTAAAAGAAATATTTAACTCTCGTCTCTCACCATCCGAATAAAATAAACGGTGTTGGAATCATCAAAAAACAATTAAACAATTCGACTGCATCGATCCATTAAGAATACGTATAGTTAACATTTCTCAACAAATAATGACTGGAGGTGACAAAATATTCTTTGCATGTAGGTCTGACTGTTGAGATCTCAAAGTTTTGATAGACAACCCAAGGGTTCCTTTCTTGTATGTTGCAACTCCTCTGCATGTCCGCACCATTAAAAGTTTGCGTTGAAGCGTTAGAATATACATCTTACTTGCGCAGTGATTTCCTGCAATAAGTTCTTGCCAAAATGAACCGTGAAGAACGTAAGTTTTAATTCTTTCAATTCCTCCCTCACACGGTCACACCTTTGGGTTAATTTATATATTCTCATCTCTAAATCCAAATTTCCCATATTTTGCAGGAATTTTAAGATCTTTTAGGAAAGAAAAACCAGTTCACTACATACTAAAGATTAAACCGTTCTCTTCACTTGTAGAGTCTTCTCTGAAGAAATATGTTTCTGGTGATTTTGAAGCTGGAGGTTACAAGTGGTAATATTGTTTCAAATTTTCTTCATGTTCTATTTCTTTGCTATTGCTGTTTCACCCTTTGCTCTTGGTCACTCCTGCTTTCACTTGTCCAAACAAATTTATATATATATTTGATTAATAACTATGAGATTATTCAAAAGGGAGAGTGACAATTAAAAGAATATGGGCCGAAATTCAAAGGAATGGCTGTAGTGTCTTATTTTTCAATGGTGGCAATCGCCCCATATATATACAATTACATCATGATCAAATTAGCAACTCTAGAATTTAACAACTTCCTAAAACTATATTTTCCTAAAACTCTATGCACAATATTAGTAACTTCCTAATTACAAATTAGCAACTTTCTAAATACAATATTAGTAACTTCCTAAATATAATATTAGCAACTTTCTAAATACAATATTAGTAATTTCTTAAATGATATCTTTCTAAATATTATACAGTATCTACAATATCTCCATTACTCCCCCTCAAGTTGGAGCATGTAGGTCACTATGCCCAACTTGCGAAGAAGAAAATCGAACTATCGTCACCCAAGTGCCTTGGTCAAGATATCTGCCAACTGATTATAAGTCCGCACATGAGCAGTCTCAATAGTTCGAGCATGCAAGGCATCACGAACAAAGTTACAATCAACCTCTATATGTTTGGTGCGCTCATGAAAAACCGGATTAGCCGCAATATACATAGCGGCACGACTATCACAATTCAATTTCATAGATCCGGGATGTTCCACCCCAAGATCATGAAGGACACTCTTTAACCATTTTAATTCACACGTTGCAGCAGCCAGAGACCTGTACTCTGCTTCTGCAGATGACCGTGAGACGGTATGTTGCTTCTTAATTTTCCAGGAAATAGGAGATTGTGCAAGCATTACAAAATACGCAGTCAAAGAGCGTCGTGTCAAAGGACAACTAACCCAGTCGAAGTCACAATAAGCATATAATCTGAGATCACTGTTGACGCTCAACATGATTCCCTGTCCTGGATTTCCTTTTAAGTGTCGGACCACCCACAAAGCTGCATCCCAGTGTTCTTGTCGTGGTTGTTGCATAAATTGAGCCAATATATGCACAAAATAACAAATCTCAGGCCGAGTTATAGTAAGATAAATTAATCTCCCTACYAGACGTCTATATTTTTCTAGGTCATCCAGGAACTTCCCGTTGGCCAGTGCTAGTCGATGATTTTGTTCCATGGGCAGATGGGCCGGTTTAGCCCCCAGCAGTCATGTTTCAAAAATAATATCTAATGCATATTTTCGTTGGCAGAGATAGATGCTCTCATCTCCTCTGGCGACTTCAATGCCAAGAAAATACTTTAGTGTTCCAAGATCCTTCATGTGAAAGCACCGATTCATATATTGTTTGAATTGATGTATCATCTCCCCATTGTTTCTTCCCACGACAAGATCGTCCACATACACCAAAACACACAGTGTAGCTCCGTTTTTATGGTAAGTGGATAAAGAATAGTCTGAATGTGATTGAGTAAAATCATACATCTTCAATGCCGTACCTAATTTGGCAAACCAGTTTCTAGGTGCCTGTCGCAATCCGTACAAAGATTTGCGCAGACGACATACTTTCCCTGAATGTGTGGATGAAAAACTGGGCGGCAATCACATATACACCTCTTTCGCCAGGTCACTATGCAAAAAGGCATTATGCACGTCCATCTGATGAAGTTCCCACTTACGTGTCGCTGCTACAGCCAAGAACAACCGAACAGTCACCATCTTTGCCAATGGTGCAAAAGTCTCATTATAGTCTATCCCGGCTTTCTGGTTGTTCCCTAAAATCACCAATCTTGCCTTGTGTCTTTCGATCGTTCCATCTGAATTATACTTGGTCTTGTATACCCATTTGCACCCGATTGCTCGCTTCCCGGGGGGCAACGGTTCAAGGGTCCAGGTCCCATTACGCTCAAGAGCTTCAATTTCCTCCTTCATGGCTTGTCTCCAATGTAACTCACGATTCGCTTCCGAAAAATATGTGGGATATTTCCCTACAGTTATAGCTGCCAAAAATTGTCTGTCTCAAAGAAAAGTTAGTACAAGTCACGCAACGTGTAATAGGATAGGACGCACCTGAGGAGTGATATGCTGTGGCATGATCCGCGAGGGGGTCGTTAATGTGCTGCACTGTGTGGCATATATAGTCCTTCAGCTTCTCAGGAGGACGCCTTTCCCTACATCCTCGGCCAAGATTTTCACCTTCACTATTGCTTTCCAAGTTCACGTTGCCCTCTCTCTGTTCATTAAGATCTTCACCACTCCCCTTTGCTTCCGGAGTCAGATCTCCTTCAGAAGTTGATTCATCATTCGAATTGTCTGCACTGTTTGCCTCATGGTTATCAAAGAAATGTGCATAATCATTACAGACAGACGGTTGCTCGGCCATGCCGAGGTTAAGTGATTCAGAAACAGTAGTTTTATAGGGAAAGATATGTTCAGAAAAAACAACATCACGAGATACAAAGAACTCATTCGTATCTAAGTCATAGTCTCCATCCTTTCTTACCGAAAGGATACCCAACAAATATGTACTTTCGACTTCGAGAGCCAAACTTGTCTTTGTCACTCCCCTGATAATGAGCATGACATAAACACCCAAAAACACGAATATGTTTGTAAGTTGGTTCCTTCCCGAACAACAATTCACATGGACTCTTTCCATCAAGTAAGGAACTTGGAGTATGGTTAATCAGGTACCCGGCAATCAACACACATTCGCCCGAAAAATTCACTACTAAATTTGCCTAGAAACGCAAAGCACGTGCAACATTCAGAATGTGTCGATGCTTGCGTTCCACTCTGCCGTTTTGCTGAGGTGTCCCTACACAAGATTTTTGTTGAATAATCCCATGGATATTACAATAATTACTTAAGGCTACAAATTCTGACCCGTTATCACCCTAACCTTACTGTCGAATTGGGTCATTACCATGGCACAAAATTTCATAATGTTAGTACTAACTTCACTCTTTTCTACCATTAAATAAATCCATACTGCCCGTGAGTAATCATCAACGATGGTTAGGAAATATACGACACCACATGAAGCAGGAGTACGATATGGTCCCCAAACATCACAATGAATTAAAGCAAAAGGTGTAGAAGCTTTATTAGAACTTAGAGGAAATACATCACGAGTTTGTTTAGCTCTTAAACAGATATCACATAACTTACTGGATGTTTCTTGACTAGCAAGTTTATTTTTAGTGGTAGGAAGCAAACTAACAACTTGTTTTGAGGGATGTCCCATTTGTCTGTGCCACAACTCATATGAGTCCACCTTTGCCAACCTGTAAGCACTTGTTCTTGCCACACAACGCCAAAGAGAGACCCCATCACGCTTCTCACCCACACCAATCACTGTCCTCGAAGTGGGGTCCTGCATCACACATAATTTGTCTGAAAACGTGACTGTACAATTTAATTCATCAATAAATTGAGACACAGATATCAAATTGCAATTCAAATTAGGAACATATAAAACATGTTTTAAATTCAATCCTTTCCCAAGCTGCACTTCTCCTTCTTGCAACGCCATCATATTCTTTCCATTAGGGAGTCCAACGGCGCAAGGAGCGATTTCATGCAGATTCTTCAATAGCTCCAAATTCCTGGTCATATTATGAGAACACCCTGAATCAATCAACCACATTTTCTTACCCGTCAATTTTTCTGAATTGGATTCCTTGTGTGAATTGATCATCGCCATTAATGTTGCCCATTGTTCATCATTAAGTATGGGAAAACCAGCTTTGTCACCGGTCCATACAGCCGTAGCAGTGGTGCTAGTGCCGCAGCTTCCTGGTGTCTGGACAACATTGGCCGCCGTTGAACCAGATTCTCCTCGACCTCTTCCGGTTCCCGTGCCTCGACATCCTCATCCTCCACGACCACCAGAGCGACCTCCTTTGCCTGCAAACCACCAATCTGGGTAGCTTACAAGCTGGAAGTATTTAAGTACCTCATGACCAGTTTTCCCACAGTGAGAGCACGTCTTCTCATCCTTGTTCTGAGATTTGGTTCTATTTCCAGTTTGCACAGCAAATCCTACAGCCTCTGCTCGTTCTTCACGTGCTCGAGCCACCGTTTTGTGCCGTTCTTCTTGCACAATTATTGCATTTATTCGATTCAAAGAAGGTAAAGGTTCTGTACTCAAAATATTTAATCTGATAGTGCCATAAACTGCACTATCAAGACCCATGAGAAACTAATGAATTTTCTCCTTTTCCCGCTCTAGTGCTAGCTCGGTCGCCGCTCCACACTTGCACCCACCACACGTGCATTGTGGGTTCTTTACGTACCCAGCCAACTCCTCCCACATGGTCTTCATCTTTCCATAATAAGCGGAAACAGTCATACCTTCTTGTTTGCAGTTGGCCAAGTCGCTATTCAATTGGTGAATTCGCAGATCATTTCCGATGGCGAACCGTTCCTGAAGATCCTCCCACAGTTCCTCTGCTATCTCCATATAGGAGATCGTAGACCGAAGCCCTGGTTCTATGGTATTGAATATCCATGCTACCAACATGGAATTCATACTATACCAATCTTCCAATTCGTCGGCATCATCACCAGGTTTCGTCACATTGCCTTCAAGAAAGGCTAATTTCTTCTTTGCCCRGAACGCGTTCTTCACAGCTTTGGCCCATTCATCATAGTTATCCCCTTTCAAAATGATAGGGGTCACGACCAAGCCGTAAGTATGGTTCTGATAACAAAAAAAATATGGGCCGAAATTCAAAGGAATGGCTGTATTGTCTTATTTCTCAATGGAGGCAATCGCCCCATATATATACAATTACATCATGATCAAATTAGCAACTTCCTAAAATCATACCTTCCTAAAACTCTATGCACAATATTAGTAACTTCCTAATTACAATATTAGCAACTTTCTAAATACAATATTAGTAACTTCCTAAATAGAATATTAGCAACTTTCTAAATACAATATTAGTAAYTTCCTAAATGATATAGTATCTACAATATCTCCATTACAATTCTTTTTTATTTTTTCTGTACGTTCAGAAAAATTAGATAAGGATATCATTTAATTTTGATTGGTTTATACTTATGAAGTACACAGTACGAACTTAAATTGATGGTTTTGATTGTAGGAGGCTGATTCTATATCCAAAAGGAGACGAACGAAGAAGTGGGAAACATCATATCTCCTTGTACTTGGCAATTTCAGAGACAAACTCTCTCCCTCTTGGCTGGGAGGTTAATGCAAAATTGAGGTTATTTATATTTGACCAATTTCTGGAGGAATTTTTAATTGTACAAGGTAATTTAATTGTTCTAGACAGTGAGAATGCATGTAGATGCACCACAGAAGTGCTATATGCTCAATTTGATTATCATAATTGGTTTTCTTCTGTTCATGCATTTCTAATCTTGATGAAGCTATGCACGGTAGAAGTAAAACATGGATTGGGTTAAGTATATATCAAAATCAAAAAGAAAGACACTTCTCTTGCTTTCCAAATACTAGATAATATAGATTTCAAGGAAGAATAGTTAATCGAATTTAAACAAAAAGGAAACAAAAGCTATATACAAGGATGTGTTTGACAAAAGTGCTAAATGACAATCCTACAATTTGATGAGTCTTAAACCTGAATCAAGACTGCAGTGGACATTGTATATGGAAAAGGAAATTGATAAGGCTTCTCTTATGGGCTTATGGCTTTATAAGTTTTCTATATTGCTCTCATTTTTTTTTACTTACAAGAAATTGTCCTTGTGCCTAGATTCCAATGACAAGCCGAGATGTTTCCATTCGACAAAGACAGAATGGGGATTTGCTCAATTCATGTCTCTTATCATCAATATTTAATACTGCACCATTGACCTATACCCATACTTGGAAGGTAGAGAAGTTTTCTGGTTTGGTCAATGAACGCTATTACTCTGAAGTGTTCACTGTTGGAGATCATAAATGGTAACCTTCCCTATAGTTTGATGGCATGCACTTGACAAAGCTTTTGATATTATCATGAGTAAATATTCATTTTTCTGATCAGTCATTGAATCACCTTTTGATTTCAGGAAGGCAGCTCTATATCCAAATGGAAAAGGAAGTGAAAAGAGCAAGAGCCTTTCTCTGTTCTTGGAATTGGCTGATATGACAACCCTTCGTCCGAAAGAGAAGGTTCATGTTAAGTTCATCTTACGAGTAAGGGACCAAGTGGGCGGCAAGCACTCTGAATACGAAGGTAATCTACAAGGTTTAAATGTTCACAGTGAGATAGCTTTCTAAGGCTCTTTCTCTGTGTGTGTGTGTCTTTCTCTCATTAATCACTTGCACCTTTCTGTTTAATTTGTTAAGAGTACAGACAGTAATAAGAGGTAATCCAAACAGTGTTACATACAATTTAACTGTTCTGCGAGTATATTTATGGAGAAGACATTGGGCAGACCGAGTTTCAAAGTATTAGTATTGTGTATCTTATATATTGGAAAGGTTAACCGATATGTATCGGAATATGTATGGATGCTGTGGAAAGATATAATTACACTTGGATACATTAGAGAAACTCTAATTACAAATATCACAAATTAATACATCAATAATTTAAGGTTGAAATAACTATGATCATTAAACAGAGCCAAGGCCCATTTCTTTTGGAGAATAGGTAAGGTAAAAATTTATGACAAGCTCCTCAAACAGAGCCAAGGCCTAAAAGGCCAACAAAAGAAACCAATTGACTGTGCTAAAGACTAAGAAGCCTAGAAACCAACAAACCAAATACAAAACATGGGAATAACTTCTTAAAATGACTAAATGCAAGTTTAAAATTATATTAGTTTTTAGATTTATGCATATAATATGCAATTCAAAATTTTCAATTAGTAGTCACTAAATAATAATATAATGATTTTATTTCTGTAAACTACCAAAGGTTTAAGAAAACATTTTTGACATAAATTGTTGTTAAATCAATGGGTTTATAAATCATTTGTAGATTCATCTTATAGTTCCTTACTACCATAAATATCATTTAAGACATAATAAATTATTTTCACATTTTTCAGATTTTCCTAAATTTTAGGGTAAAACCCATAATTTTACTAATAGAAACTTAAGATATCATAGATATAACCATAATTTCATCATTAATTTTTACTTATTTAGTATTATTATAAAAATAGTAATTCTATTTCTTAAAATAATCACTATGTTTTGTTTATTATGCATTAAATTATTAATTAAAAAACCACAATGGTTAGATCTATGATATAATTTTGAATTTGGCGTTTTGTAATTTTGAATTTGTAAAAATCGATATAATTATTTTATTATTCTTATTAATATAAATTACTAAAATAATTTGGGGATCAATGGATTTGATAAATCATTAATAGAAATCAAGTAAGACCTATAAAATAATTGTTTTTTTTTTGTAAACGTTTGGATTTTTCTATATTTTGGGGGTGCACAAAATATAGGCAACAAATCTGTATTTTCATTTGGATCCCTAAAATACATACATCAATTAAATATGAATGATTTTCTACCTAAAAGGTGAGCATATGAATGATTAAATTAACAAAACATAAAAGTAAAATTATATTCTCTTCATCTTCTCTTTGGTTGTGCAGGTTGGGAGTGAAGAAACAGTTCCTGACCAAGCTAGGTCATACATAGTTTACATCTCTGCCCCACAACGCCCCACAGCACATCTCCGCCGTGCATTGGAACATCTTTCAATAATGACATCATTGGGAGTGGTATTAATATTGGGAGATGTTCTCAATACACGGCAGGGATGTGCTGTGAGACSAGGCGAAGATTTGAATTCGGTTATACAAATAAGGTTCTGAAAAAATCTGATGAAAATTTTGATTAAAACTACAAAAGCTAGAGATTCCAACTTGTGCAGTGCAATGTATCCACATGTATTGACTGGTATTGAACTATATCTACCGATACAATACAATACAACTCATCATGAAACTGGGACTCAATAAAAGTGGGACCTGCTATACGGAAGATGTGTGGTGTACTGGTGTGAGATCGTGTTGGACCCATCAAAAGGCTTCCTAGTGGATGATGTCTTCTTCTTTATTTATTCTGTAACAAATATTAATTCGATAGTGGAACTGCTTTTAATGGTTTTGAAATTTGTATGGAAAATCCAAGTTGAATTGCTCAGCCACCTACAAGATCTGGATGGATGAAGCTGAAAGAGTATAAGTTGGCCAATTAATTATATATAGATCATTTTTCAAGTTTCAACTACTTGATAACTATTAATTTGATACATGAAAGAGTTTTTAAAAGGGAAAAATAAATTTTATTTTATACAAATATTTAAAGTGTTCTTTTTAAAATGTTGTTAATAAGTTTATCTTTGATTTAACTGATCAAGGCAAATAGAAATGAAAACAGTTGAAAGTTTTTTAAACCCTTGAATTTCCCCACTCGATTTAATTGATCAACCGACTTTTTTTTTAATTTATAGTAAAACAAAAAATTATTAATTTAAAGGAAAAAAATAATTCAGGGATAGAAGGGCAAAAAAAACAAAACAAAAAGCAAAAATAAAAAAATAAACTGCTTGCCCAAAATTCAAAAAATAAAAACGACCAGCCAGCAGGATCTGAACAAAACATGTACAATCGGCCCAACAACCTAAAACAAAGTACTACCCGTAACATAAACCAAACAGGCCCAACCAGCAAAAGACAGCAACCAACCCAGCCCTCTCTCTGGAGGAATGGCAACGCGGCCACTTTGAGGCGGAGATCATGCGTGTCTGTTTGGCATTGATGCCGTTGCTCTAGAAAACGGTGATACATCAGTATTACGATGGAAAAAACGGTGTTTCAGGAAATGTTAATATATTTTGAATCATTTTTTCATAAAAAACGGTTCTTTAAGCTATGCCTTGGAAATCAAGAATGTGTGGTTTGGACTTTGTAGCAATGCTGAATTTAACGTTTTCTCAAATTACAACTTGTTGCTGTCAACGAGGACATGACGTGGACTTCTTATAATGGGTACCAATGCTGAAAATAGATATGGAGCATCGGTACCAAACAGAAAGTATTGTTGTTGTTCCAAGAAATATTCTACCTAGTAGCAACGTTTCCAAAAAAAATACATAATTTTCTCAAAAAATGGTATAATATCTAGATGCCAAACATATACCATATTTTTCATCCCTGATCTTGACTTTGAAATAAATCTTTCTCCCCAACTCCAATCCCCAATAGAGATGGATTCCTTGTAAAGAGGCCCAAGACCAAGACAATGTCCATTCCAAATCTCATCAGCTGGGAGGCCAGGTACTCGGCAGGAATTGGGAAAATTGTCATACAACCAATGTATCTAAAGTCAGAAATCCTTTTCAGCTTCTTGATTCCTGGAAGTTCACCAAGAGAATAGAAATCATCACCTTCAACTTCTTTACCAAAGGAAGCCTTAAGGCTTAAAAGATATCTGATCTACTTCTCTCGACTTCTCAACCAAGCCTTGCGGCCTCCCTCCTCTCCACCGAAACAAAACAAGGCCAACGGTTCCACCCTTTCAGTGAGCAAGCGCTCCTCCTCCGAGGTGCCAACAACGCATCCTGGATCCACCATGGACTGAACTTCTGCATCCTCAACCGCACCACCCAACTTGCCACACTGGAGGACAAGAATCATTGGACACGGCTGCTTAGACACCAACCACCTCACCCATACAATCATGGGACACGGTACTAAAGTAAAATCTTCACCACTCTTCTCCTCTAACACCACTGTCAATAGGGTCGGCAGGTTGTATCTTTGAGGAACTGTGAGCCGTTGTTATCAAGTATCAACTAAGATTGGAGATGCTCACTATTTCCAAACAGCTTGGAAGTAGTACAAATACAAATATATATGGTGCAAAACTTTATATTTTGAACTATTTTGTGTGTATTTGCACTGTATATATTTGTATTTGTATAAGCCTTAGTGTACAAATACAAATTTGTAGTGTAAAGTCTTATATTTTGTATTATTTTATATGTATTTGCACTGTAAATATTTGTATTTATACTCCTTCCAAATCAAGCCTTAAGTACAAAAATGAAAAATAGGAATTTTTTCCTTCTCCTTTCTCCATTTCACCTTACTAGCAGCATTTCCTTAATGCCAAGTTAACATCTTCTAATTTTCTCTTTTTTTTTTTTGTATTTTCTCCTTTCATAATGCATCATCTTTTTCAAATTTATCCCATTTGTTAACACATGGAATAGATTGGATTTTCTTTCTGATTTTTTTTTCTTTTTTTATTTTTGAGAACATAACTCACCGARTCATTTATTCATCCACTCTGGAGCTCCTAGTCACAAACTCACTTTGGAGAACATAACTCACCAAATATACACTTATAGTGTCTTTTGGGTAGGGATGTGGAAAGAATTGTGGGTAGGAGATCCATTCATCTCCATAGTCCATCCATTCCATCATAATTAAGGTTGCATTTGGTTTGATGGGAGATTTTTGTGTGATAGGAAAGCATGGGATGGGATGGGATGGGATGAGAAAGAGAAAATGGGTGAAAATTTTTCACGTCCCATCATTTGGTTGCAAAAAGGAGAATAATGGGAAAATCAACCCTAATAACAATTATTAATTAATTATGTAATTAGTAAAATATTATTTTATATTTTATTATTAATTAATTATTATCATTAATTAATATTTTAATGTTTTTAGTTTGTATTAATTAATATTTTAATATTTTATTTTGAACTATTAATTAATTATTAAATTATTTTAATTTACTAATATTTTACTAATTGTTTATTTTAATTTATTTATGATTATTTTTTATTAAATTATTTTATTTGTATGTTATTAAACAATTAATAATTTATTATTGGGCATTGGTCTAATATTACTATAAAGGTGGTGTTTATTTTTTCTTTTTGTTAAACAAGTTTTCTCCTCCATTCCAACTTRTTCTCCACTAAAATGGTGGGATTTCACATTCTAAGAATTGGGATCTATAATACCACTTTTATCCCATCCCATCTCATGACATCCCACAAACCAAATTTAAAAAAGAAGAATATTCCAAAATATTCCATATTTTCCCTGTCCATCCCACCTACATTTTCCTTCAAGCCAAACATAGCCTAAAGGAGAGAGAGAGAGAGAGAGAGTAAAAAAAAGACATTTCCCAAAACTCTTGCTTCAAGAAAGATACTCATCCATATTTGGGCCGCATTACCATTTTTCTTGCCATGAGAGCTTCTCCTAGCGGCAATAAGAATAGAAGATTGCAGTTAGTAGTAGTATCTTCATCGATGCAATCATGCCAGACCATACATCTCCTCTTGCAACTGTCTTCCAAGAGGTAACTTTGGCCGTGTAGCATATGCAAAACTGTACACTTATAAGTACCAATTCTTTCTAGTACCCAAATCAGGATCTTAAAACCCCGTTAGTTTTGTTGGGCAAATTAAGAAGAAAGGTAAGACGGATTTGGAACAATAAGAAAAACCACAAGAAGCACTGCCACATCAGCACCACATGGACATTTGTGCTTATTGAGCATGAAACCACTGTTTGGTTTCATTATTCATCAAATAAACGCTAAAAAGCATAAACATATGGATTTATGTGCATGAGGCATTTGGGGAAATGTTAAATTCTTGTTTCCCCCCCTCCATTGCCTTGTCATTTTTTTGAAATGGAATCCAAACAATAAAAGCAAGAAAAGCGCTTAAAATAGAATTATTAAAATAAACACCCACAGAACTAATCATATACATAAACTATAACAAAAATTACAAAAAAAAAAACATAAAACATTTATATAATATTTAATATATAATCAGTTTGGAACACTAAGAACTGATCCCAACAAGTACGCCCAAATGGAGATGTCTTGGGATGGATTCTCTTCAACTTCAACTTGTTTATTAATTGGTCCCAACTTGTCATGAAGGTTAGGTCTTAAGAGTTAAACAATTAAACTATGATAGCATTTAATCAGCCGAACTACAATAGTAGTAGCAGAGTGAAGGAAAAGGATGGCAGAGATACGCACTTTATCTCCCTAATCTCTTGAAAATGAAAAACTGCTCTACTCAAMAAAACCAGCACGTTGGGTCCTCTCTTCATTGAAATGCATCACAATCTTGGGTGCATACAAGCTTCCATTCCTCAAGATGGAGTTTGGGGTGTTTCTCCACTTTCTCTACCAAATTGAGGTCTGTCAATTGATCAACCCTATAGTGAGTTTATCAAACAGCGCTCAGCCATTTGACTCATGAGGTCTTGCTGTCATGTTGAGAGTGATGCCATAGCCTTTTCTAATTGCTCCCCTTGTTACTCTATGCCTGTGATCAAAATGAAAATTATAATCAGCAGGAATGAGATTTCATTCCCAAGGAAGGGGCAGGAAATGGCCATTCTCTCAAGTAAAAGATTGTCATTCTAGCAGGAATGGAAATGAGATTCCGACTCCGTCCAACCAAATAGTTGGAATGAGAATGACCCATTCCAATTCCAATTTCAGACCCCTATTCCAGTGAATCAAACAGGGCCTCAATATGATTGGATTACTTCGAAGCAACCCAAAGCCTCCGGAATTAACACCTCTATGTTGAAGACGTTGCTTGCATGAGTACAGATTTGAAATATGTCATAAACTCCATTAGCATGTGGATAAGGACTGATTCAACAATTATTTAATGATGGAACAATGTATTAAAAAAATTATTCAATTCTGTTTTAGATATATTGTG